AAAACAAATCCATTATTTTTCTATTCAATTTCATGCAAAAATAATGGATTTCTTTTTACTACACCTAATATATAAGATGTACAGGGTGTCTAATAATTATTCTGACAGAGTTCGTGGACATGTAGAGCAGACTAAATTGAGATGAAAAATCCATTTTGCAATTTTCGCAATAGTTAACAAAATATTAATTGTTAAAAATTGCCGAAAATTGGTCTCCAATAATTTTTTACTCAAATACTATCAACCTTACAGAAAAAATTGCAAGAGATGAAAATTGTTTATTTTCTTCTCATAGAACTCTACGAATTTTTTCAGAATTTTTTATCAACTTTTTAGTACTATATTTTCTCATTTTTAACAACATGAGAAAACACGGTATTAAAAAATTCTGAAAAAATTCTAAAAAAATTCTTAGAGCTCTATGAGAAGAAAATAAATAATTTTCGTCTCTTTCAGTTTTTCTGTAAAGTTGATAGTATTTGAGCAAAAAAATATAGTATTTGATTTAAAAAATATTGAAGATCAATTTTCGGCAATTTCTTGTTAATTATTGCGAAAATAGTAGAAGACTTTCCACTGGAAAAAAATACACGTCTGCCTAATTGTCCTCCCCCCTACTTAACTAAATTTTAATGAATAAATTATATAATAATGCGGTGTTTATGCGCTCTTAAAATCCGCAAAAAAAATTTTTACCCTCATTTTGTTTAGCTAAAAAAAAATTTTTTTATTGGGAACTCAGTAGGATGTCAGTCAGCCCCCTACGTGTTAATAACAACTGATTTAGAAAATCAAATACACAGGATTTATGCGCTTTCATGCTATTCACATAGTTTCACTTTTTGCGTTGCATCTCTTAAGGTACTTCCCTCTTGAAGCAAATAGTCATATTCATTCTTAAGTCATTTAAAATTGTAAAATTACACTATCTAATTGTGCAAAATAGAAAGAAGTTAACAAATAGAACGAAAGTATTACCAATCCTATTTATTATATTTATCGATTTATTGTATCTTTGACTTTTACCTTTCCAAAACTTGTACATTGTTATCTTTGATTTTTTAAATAGAAACACAATCGCTTGGAATTCATAGCGCATAAATAAAAAACATACTTTGCACAATTAAAGTATTTTCACAATTTTTAATAACTTAGATACGAATGCTACTGTTTCATAGAATGAGTTTTATGTTTATATATTAATTTATCATTAGCTGCTAATACTGTTATTTTTAGCTAACTAGAAAATGAGAGGAGGTACTTTTGTGGTGAAAAAAAAAAATATCTTACAATATTTTAAAAAATTTCATATATATAAAGATTTACATATATTAATTTATGAAGATTTTTTTAAATACTTTAAACTTCCAGATTTTATAATTTTTTTTCGAAAATTATAGAATGAGAAATCTTAAAATATTCCAAAAGTTGCACTTACATAAAGAATTTTAGAAAAGCTGTAGACTTTCTTAGTATTTCTGAAAAATGTTTCAATT